GCCAGACTTTTTTTTTCTTTTTCGCCAATGACCGGCATATAAGACTATATAGTCCGTTGCAACTCGAGAAGGTAGGGCGAGGGAAAGGAAGGCCGGGGAGGAGGGAGCACACAAATTGTTAAAGGAGAGGAGGAGGTTTCCCCCTCTCTTCTCTAGCGTTCCATCTGCTTCCCCCTCCCCGGCCTGCCTTTCCCTCGCCCTACCTTCTTGAGTTGCAATGGACTGTAGGGTCAACTTCTTGTGCATTTGCAAAAAATAATTTACCCATATTCCGGTTTATACAGTAGATTTGGTGTGAGGATAGTGAATTTGAGGCACGCAGAAAAAGCTAGGGAAGTGTTCGTGGCAAACGCCAAGATGACTACAATAGTGATTTTAGTGTATGCTATAACCACTGCAGTAGTAGCTTTAGTGGGGTAATGATATTGCCGTCCTTCACTGGCGGTGGGTACATAGAGGGATGAATGGATCCTAATGGCTGTACCATTTATTTTATATCAGGTGGTAGTTTGCACCGCTTAGCCTAAATAACTTACTTTTCCCGCCCTCAGTGGTGGAACCGCTGTGCCATTTGCGCCTAACTCTTCCAGAACGAAAACCCTGCTACATGCTGTTCCAAAGGTTGTATTTGTGCACAATTTGCTTCATGTCTGCACCAAAAGGGAGCTGTTCTCAAAAAGGAAACTGAAAGTGTGGCATGTGGCAGTCTTGGCGATGCCACCGTAAATGAAGAAAGTGCAGTTATTTTTTCGGATGCCTAAGTACTATGTGCGAACAGTAGGGCTGTGCGTATATTCTAATTCTATGCTATTTGATATTCACTTCAGTATAAACTGCAATATTCATACTTTTCAAAGTATTGATCGCGGCAGGTTAGCCCCCTTGAGTGCGCTTCTCCTCAAGTGTCGATGCACCATGGAGAAGCAATATCCGCGGAGCTGACACCGCAATCTTGTGACTGACTTCGCCGCAGCGCAGCCGTGCACAGACCTTCAAAGAGGTATAACGCACGCGCGCGCCTAGTGTAATAAAAAAAAAGAAAGAAAACGGATTGGTGATATTTACATTGCAGTAAAATCTTCAAAATTTTACTGTGGCTTTTATGGAAGGGTGTAAGGCAGCAATGTTTTAACAACCTGTGTTCATTACTTGTGTTTGTTTTGTTTTAATTCAGAATTGAAAATATTTTCATATAGCAAGAAGGTTTATAAATCCGCTCAATTAGGTATGGTGGGGCTCCCTTATAGTTTAATTTTATGTCGAATTTGTCATTTACTTGCCATCCTAAGGTAGGCATTGGACTGTCTGAGGGTGCAGTCTACAAGTATAGCTAAATTAAATTTAACAGAGCTCATAAGTGGGCAATTAGAAGCTTGGGAACAACCTTTGTGAATTCAGCTGAATTTTTGTTTAAGCATGCTGTAACAGTAGTGAAAGGCATCGAGAAGGGTGCAGCAACCATTTAATATTTGATTCAAAGATATTCAACCAAAACCGCTAACAAGAGGTGGTGGTTTTGGCTTTGGTTAGGGGTGGGTTACCCCTGAAAAATAGCCCACCCTTATTTTTGGGCTGATTTGCTATTTTCTTTTAAACATTGAAATATAGCCCACTCCTATAATCACAGTGTTTGGATCAATGATGACCTTGGCATAAATGCGTCTACTTAGCTATGGCGGGTTATAAGCAAACATTGCTGATTGGGAAGCACAGTCATCTTTGCTTCGTTGCTTCTCGCCACGATAACAAGTTTGACAGAGACACATGATCTAAAAGTAGAATTTTTTTCAACTTTTCTTAATTGCACACGGAAAGTTAGCCCACTCTTTATTTTCACCCAATTTTCTCTCGATTTTATTAGGGCTATCTCTTGGGATTTTATGGAATTCACTTGGAATTTTCTTCAAAGCCAAGAATTCATTATTTTCACGTCTAACGAAGAGTTATCGGTTTTTGTGCGAACGGTGCTCACATCGATCACATGAATAGGTAATGCTACTCGTTGTGATCAGTTAAAGAGTAGCATGTGCTCCGCTTAGCTGCTCTAAGAAGAGTAGCAGGTTGAACATGAGCGAGGGCAGCGTGAGATACATTCAGCACAGAAGTGTGTTTAACACAAACCCTACAAAGTAGCCAAAAACACATTTTTATGTCAAACACAAACCGAGGATGCCATCGGTACTCCTAATAGGTAAATTGAGACATCTGGAAAATTACCGGCGTACAATTGTTCAATAAATTAATAAACATCTGTAGTGGTCAGGTCCCCTGTAGGTCTGATACCTTAAATATCTCCCAACACTTCAACAACTGAAGTTTTTTCCACAGGCTAACTTTTAAAGAGATTGTATAAAAGTTTTCGACATGGAAGCTCAATATTGTCTGCTCGAAAAGTGGGAATCTCTGCTCCAGAACCCATTGTTTTCTGCTACGAGAGCTGCTCCAAACCACCATTTGTCCGTTCCACCACTGCACCCTTTAAAATGTTGCCTCAAACTTTTGTCCCCCATTAGACTTCATAGACTATAACCCACCAATTCTGTGTGCAATTTCACACTTCCCTAGATCCTGCCACCAATCCTGTAACCTCCTTTTTGTGATTTTGTGAATACTTTGTTTCTTGGAGCCTGTGTTTGGGTTGGTGAGAACGACATCAGCCGAATGCCGGCGTTCGACGGGTGAGTGGAGACAAAGGCAGCTGGCTTTATGTCTACCCACTAATTATTCCAGTTGGAGCTCGCTGTTCTGATGTCTCTGCACAATCTCGCCTCCTCCTCTCTCTTTCCACCCACATAAGGGATTTTCAGAAATTTTCAATGCCACAAGGGGCCTGTTTCGGTTAGCCGACGCCATTAATCTCCGTGTATTCGTGGTCTTCGTCGGCTGTCGTCTGCGGCCAAAGTGCAGCTGTGGCTAGAGAATGTGTTCCCAGGCACAGACTAGGGGCACAACGAGCGACCGATGGTGGACCTGGCTGTCAAAAGTAACGCTAAGAAAACCCGAGTATTCATGCAGCAACGCGGCTCTCTCTTCACACACACGACACTACTAGCAGTGTCCGACTTCCTAAGGGCACTCGTCAAAATGGTGTGCTGCCACAAAATATTAGTTCCACCAATCACGAGAGAGACCACGTGATATCACGTGCTCGCGTAATCGCCGAGTTACGTGATCACGTCCTCACTGTAGGATACGTGATCAGGTAATAAATGTAGGTGCGTTACATGGTTGGTTTACTTTATGTCACACTGGGATGTGACCACGTAACATGGCGTCAGAGCGTTGTATGTCCAGTAACTTGATGTTGCAGTGCTACGTGATGCATGTTGTCACAGTGTCACGTGACCATGTAAGTTGACGTCAGTATCGCATCACGTTCTGACATCATGGGATGTCAGAGTGTCACGCTGCTCTGCACAACATAAGTGCAGTGATGCGATTGCTGCGCCATTTGCACCGGATTGTGCCAACATGTTTACCCTGCTACGTCCTACATTTCGGCAAAATGTGAGGAAGTAGTGCCAACATTGCACTGAAACTTAATTCCACTTAACTGATGCTCAAAATATAATCGCTCAGGCCCCGCTGCACGGCCAGATCGTTATTGTAGGCTCGTGTGAACTTTCAGAACTTTTGAATATCTTCTCAGGTTAGATCTGTTTACCCAACTCTGGTAGTAATGGGAAGTTTTACAAGATTTCTCATGTTTGTGGTCTGTTCTGGTTGGTTAGTTAGCTTCGTTGGGTGGGCTTCTCCCTGCGCACGGGTGTATTGCAGTGAAGGGAGAAACGCATAGAAGGGATTACAATTTTGCGTGCCTTACTTCGCTGCTATGCTTTTGCATATGAAGGGGAAAGCAGTTCTTTAGAGCAGGACATTACACACCGATATGTTAAAAAGAAAGAAAAAGGAGTTGGTGGGCACTGAAGTGACAACCCTGCATTGCAGTAAACATTTTAGAATAAAACTGCTGCTAGTCTACATTCTGACAATATATTTTTCAAATTCGAGATTTAGCTATGGCACTTAGGTATTGGGGAAGAGATCAGACCATGGCACCCCAAGCAGTTAACTTTAGAACTAACTACGCTGATGGGGAGAACAAATACAATGACTCAGCATTCAGCTGACTTAACCGAATGCGGTGTCAGCGTTCAGCTGGAGCTCGTGTTCTCCGGTGAGGGGGGGGGGGGAGGGGCTCTTTTGTTACCACTCCGGCCTGCATGAACAATGCAGCATGTACGGTGCCCAGCCCTGCACAAAAGCAGAAGTGGGTCAAGCTCGCACTGACGACTGCTTTCGGGAGAGATCCGGCACTTAACAACACTTCGTTTATTGTTAAGTATTTTTCATTACACTGTGCCCCACGCTCTATTGAAAAAGATTACATGAATATGCCCACAAGGCCTGTAGGCGTGTGCACAGGCCTTGTGTTGGGTAAACACCAAGGTGGGGGGGGGGGGGTAACAAACGAATCAGAGCACCCTCTATAGTTTGATTCCTTTCCAATAACGAGAAGATTGATATGAATACAGTTGAACCCGTTTATAACGAACCCGGTTAGAACGAATTATGGTCTATATCGAACACACGAAATTTTAAGATCAATATTCATGAGAAATATACTTTCTATAACGAACCACACATCGGTTATATCGAACTGCGAGCGCCCGCTACCGCCCCCGTGGAGACGCGCGGGCTTCCCTGCAATGCACAGAGTGACAGAGGACAAGAGAAAACCAAGAAAAACACGATGGCCCTTGAGAAGATGAGTCACAAAACCGACTGCGAACGCCCGCAACCGACCCCCGCGGAAGCGCGCTGGCTTCCCTGCCATGCACGGAGCGACAGAGGACAAGAGAAAACCAAGAAAAACACGACCCTTGAGAAGATGAGTCACAACACCGCAACCGGCCCCCGCGGAAGCGCGCTGGCCAATGATAGAGCAAGCGTGCAATGACGTTCTGATGACATCATCCTGCAGCCGTACCAGGCCGGACATGGCTCTTTTGTTCCTAGCGTTTTGCCGAGGAGGCTCGTTGTTCTTTGTGTCCTTCCTGTTCCCGCAAGAGATGGCGACCAAGGTGCGTTCATCGTTACCGTTCTCTACCAAGGTGGAAATAATCCGGCGCGTTGAACGCGGCGAGAAGAAGTCAGAAGTCGCCGCATCCTTCAAGATCGCCAGAAGCACGCTGAGTACGATTCTGAAAAACAAGCCAGCGATCCTGCAAAAGCCCCGAGATCGACCGAACGCCGACGGAAAGCGCATTCGGGCGCCTGCCTTTGACAGAGTGGAAAAGGCGCTGTACGCGTGGTTTTTGGATATTCGCGCTCGAAACCTTCCAGTTTCGGGCCCCATGTTACAGCAGAAAGCAAAAGACTTTGCCTTTTTGCTCGACGTTCAAGATTTTAGTGGCGGATCCGGATGGCTTCAACGGTTCAAGGAACGTTACGACATCGTCGGCAAAGTTGTCGCCGGCGAGAGTCGAGCAGTCGACAATGAAAGCGTCAAGAAGTGGATCGCCGAAAACTGTCCAGCAATTACGGAGCAGTACAGGCCCTGCGATATTTATAATACCGACGAAACCGCACTGTTTTGGCAGCTCCTACCCAGTCGGACCTTGGCACGACAAGGCGAGAAGTACCATGGCGGCAAGCTGAACAAAGCTAGAATTACGGTGCTCCTCACCACGAATATGGACGGGAGCTCCAAGCTTACGCCACTGATCATCGGCAAGAGCAAGGCCCCTATGTGCCTACGGGGGTGTCGGTCTCTTCCAGTGAAATACACTTCAAATGGAAAGGCCTGGATGACAAGGGTGTTGTTTGAGGACTGGCTGCGCGACTGGGATGAGAAGTTGTCCGAGAGTGGCCGCAAGATTTGCCTCTTGCTTGACAATTGCTCCGCGCATCACTGTGGTGCCACGCTAAAAAACATTCAGCTTCGTTTCCTGCCCCCTAATGCGACATCGATGCTGCAGCCGCTAGATCAAGGCATCATCCGTGCCTTCAAGCAAGGTTACAGGAAGCGTGTAGTGGAGCAGCTGCTCACCAAGCTGCGTGCGGGAAAAGAACTGAAGATTGATTTGTTGGGTGCTATTGAAATGCTTAGCCGTGCTTGGAGCGACATCGCGCCTAACACAATTAAGAATTGTTTTCGCCACGCGGGACTGTACCTGGATAACGACAGAGCAAGTACTGAAGAGGCAATCGAGGTTACGGATGACGACTTAAACGAGATGTGGAGAGACCTCGGCCGTCTTCCCGACGCGGTCCCGGATGGCGTGGAGCTGGAAGATTTTCTCGGAGTGGATGATGATGTCGCAGTGACCAGCAGTCCTTCAGACAACGAAATTGTCGCCGAGGTCGTGGCGGCTTCAGCAAACGACGACGACGACGAGGCAGAGGACCCAGAGGCATCTTGCCCGACGCTTCACGAGGCGCTTGCAGCGACGGAAGTGCTCCGTCGCTACTGTTCCCAGCTTCAGGGAAGTGGACTAAGTCTGGTAAACCAGCTATCTCGCGTCGAGGACGAAATTTTGAAGGACGCAGTAAAAGCGAAGACGCAGGCAAAAATTACCAGCTTCTGTCGGTAATATCAAAAGAACAGGTAATAAAGACTTCTCTCTGTCGTAAGTGCCACGACTTTTTTTTCCTTCTCAATTTTACGGAATTATCGTGTTCATTTATTGTCTGTTACCTAGAAATTTTCGGGCTTTCTTAGATGATATGTTTCAATATTGAAATTTATTGATAGAAATATGAATACATATGTTCCATCATGAAAGCTGCCTCGCGATAACACGGCTCTGAGCGCCGGCGTGACGCTCGCTACGCTCGGCAGCCATCGCCGCTATTCCGCGCGGTTTCCTTTCATCTCTCTCGCTTTTGCCGTCCTCACGAAATAGCGATATTTGCTATAACGAACTACTTGATATATCGAACTAAAATGCGTGTCCGATGGAGTTCGTTATAAACGGGTTCGACTGTAGCTCTAATATTATTTTTTGTCCATTCCCTTATTTTTACCTTTATATAGGTTCCTTCTGTTTAATGGCACAGTCGATGGAGTAAATTAAGACTTAAATAACTGCAACAGTGGACTGAAGCTCAAGCTTACATGTCTCCCAGAACAGATAATTCAAAGAAAATTCGTCCATATAAATGTAGAACTCATGTTTTTAAGTGTTTTTTTTTCTCCCGTGGTCAATTCATGTCTGGAATAAATTACCTAATGAAGGTTGTAGAAATTTCAATGTCAGAGCTGTTTCTTGAGAAAGTCCAGTCGTTATATTTAAATGTCATATTCAAGTGTCTCTAAAATCTAAATTTGTTGTGTGTGTGTTTTTTTTTGTTTTTTTTCGTGTATAACGACGTTTTATATTTGTTATAATTTTTTCGATCATGTATACTGTTTTTTGTCTGTCCCCCTACTGTAATGCCCTTTTAGGCATTGTAGGTATTCAAATAAATAAATAAAATAAATGAAGTATTTTTAAGACATATTTATTAACATGGTGATTTTTCTAATGAAATTTGACATGAAGCCAGTTATCAATGTTCATTAGCAAACAATAAGAAACTTTGTTTTTATCTAAATTAAGAATTGCAGTTTCATTACAAGCTTTAGAACTTAAATGAAACATCAGTCTGGGCACTACTTGGTTTGTTAAAATCTAGTTACAGCAGCTCATACAGTCCTTCGTGAGTCAGCATCTTACTGCAGTTTATTGCCACACATACCGGTACCGCGAATTGCGCAGTTGATGTTATCCCCGTCGGACATCGCATGATTGATAATCGTGCAACGTCCGACGGAGGTGGTCGAGGTTTCGGAATTTTTATGTTATAAATATTCGGCAAAAAAAAAAACAAAAAAAAAACGGGATGGGCGATTTTTCGGGTGCGGGCGTCCATACGAGATTTTGTGGTATACTGCCAGTTCTGTATTTGAGGGATTCAAACCTGCTGTGCACTTGATGCCAACAGAGGGTTGCAAAGAAGTGGGAAGGAAAAGTAGACATCATATTTTAGTTGCTCAGGCCAATGCACAAATTTTAGCATAATATTCAAACTGGTATGATTGTAAACAGTGTGCACTTATGCTCCAAAAGTTCCTTATGCTGCTCCACAATGGACCTTTGGCTGCTCTAACAGGTGCCCCAAAATGACTTGGAGCAATTGCATCACAGTAAGAGACATTCTTGATAATGGGGTTGGTGTCTGCTAAATGTAGCGAGAAATGATTGCATGTGTAGCTCCAGCAGAACCTTAAGTCCGCATTGTGCACAATTCTGACTTGGTGATTTTTTTTTTTGTTGCAAGAAGTGAAGGCATCTCGACGAGACATTTTGGCTCATTAGCATAGTGGAAAAAAGTCCCAGTTCGTGCGTGCAGCTCTTATGAGTGATTCATTTTTTTGCGAGCAATTGTGACACCAAAATGGCATGCAGACCAAGGTACCAAAAGGTGCACACTACTATATAGCTGCCATTTTGTACCAAGCCCTTAGAACATATTTAAGAGAATCTATGTACAAAGGATGAATCCTTAGTTTTATTCTAGCCAGAAAAACGTTTCATCTTTGAACAAACTTTTGTGCTAAATTTTGAAATAAACTACATAGCACTTCCACTGTGCGACACTGCTGATGCATACTGATAGGTGTTTCTTTTCCTTTCTGTGCGAAACAAAATGCAAGTAGCCTTGGATGCAGTCTGCTAACTCAGTGAGAGATGAAGAAACTGGTGATTGTGTTTTCATGCTGGATCACGCCTTTGGCATGTTTTGACGCTGCATATGCCTGAAGATTTCCTAATTTCAATTCATCACTGCTGTAAAGTGATAGTCTTGCCTGGGAAGAAGGCTTAGATGGTTTTCCTTGATCAAGTTAGACTGTTTCCTAGCTCTTTTATTGCACTATGACCACTAACTGTCCGTCAAAAATTGTATGAATATCAATGGGTAAACAAACCTAGACCAGAGTTCATTTTGGCTCTCAGAAAGGCAACCATTGATGTGCTTGCTATGCTGTTTTTTTTTTCTTCTATGGCTTGTACCCGGTTTTGTGTAACTAAATTGTTGTCTTACCTGGATATCGTATGGGAGTTAACATGACATTGCCAGTGTCTCCGTAGTGCTTCTCTACCATGGCATTGACACAAGCTTTTCTTGCAGTCTGAGTGCCCAAGCTGTGACTCTGGACCCGCTGGAATTGGCCACGTTCAACCTCCTTTGCGACCTTGCCTCTGCCGTCAACTCCCCGGGGAGTCAGGTACCGTGACTTGGAATACTCTTGACACGCTCCAGGCAGGACTCCTGGACCAGTGGCATTTCAACCTCACTTTGGACACTAGCAGTTCAGTGTTTCCAAGGGCTTTTGAAGAGTGCGCTAAAAAAAAAAAAGAAACCGAACTGCGTGGAGGCCTGTGATCTCCGTACATGATTTTGGTGTGCGGGCACTGAAGAAGAGGTTTTCCCGTTAGAAAATGTTAGCATGTTTCTGGTGCTGACACTGCTGGCAATGTCAGTGGCACGGCAACCTTGTATAACATAATGTAGGCACCTTTCTAAGTTTGGCTTTGTAGGTGGTGCCCTTTTAACAATAGTAGCGTCGTCTGCTTTAGTGGTTCTCAACCATCGGTGTTTCACGGACCCCTTGTGGATCGGTGGTGATGATGGAGGACCCCGTTCGCGTAAGGGGAGGGGAATGGTATAGGTTAAATGTAATAATTATTTATTAAATGGATATATCTAAGGGCTAGAGTGAAGTAGACCTCTCATATTTACGCACACACGAGAAAACTCGCCCTAAAACTGAAACATTTCTCGATCTGAAAAAAAAGACAACTTTTATTGCCGGGCTTGACTGATGAGGCAGGGCTTCGCGGACCCCTATTTGATGGCGGTCTCTGCGGCGGTCTCTGCTGCAACCAGGAAGGTGTGTACATCTTTTAAGGACTGACCAGGTTACTGAGTGAAGACTCTCTGCTGCATTCTGCGTCTTCTTTCCCTTGTACCGGTCAAGGAGCTGAGGCTCGGTGAGGCGCTGGTACACTGGCAGGAGGGCAGTGGCAACATGGTTCGCCAGCTTGTACTTGTGAGCTTGCTGAGGCTCGCCTTGGGCTTCTGCTGCTCGATGTCTACACCAGCTCGTGGGTCCAGGCAGACAAAGATGGTGATGAGGTTCTCCATCTGTCAAAGTTATGTGATAGAACATTACCATCACCGCTCGCTGCATCTCGTCGACGTCAGGGTGGCTTCGTAAAGTCATGCCATAGTAGCTGGTGAGCCTTTGATCAGGTCCTGCGTCGGAGCACCTCTTCCGTCGAGGGGCTGTCCTTCTTGCCCTTGGTGATGAGGGCACGCAGAGCAGATCCCATCCTCTTCTGAGTGTGGTTGATTCAGTCTTCCTTTTCAAACGGAATGAAAACATAGGTTGCATCCTTGCTGAGGGCCAGAAAAGTATGGCTGTAACCGTCGCATACAATGTTTGTGTAGCGCAAATTATTCTTGTCTAGGGAACGTCCAAAGACAACAGGGCCACCTTAGCTTCCATGCTGCCCGGCTTCACTTCACTGTTCCTCTGACACTTGTGCGACTGCATCCGCTGGCTGTAGGCCTTAGCACCTGGCTTTCGGCTTGCTGCGCACCCATACAAAGGTTTGAAAGAACCATAGAGTCCACCACTAACCCTGTGTAATATTCAATCACGGTACCCACACCAATGTGGGACGTGTGACTGCGCGTCATTCATGTGCCGTCATATACCACAGTCACATTCTCTGTGAAGGTTGGTTCCATTTCGTTGTACACTTTGCACACAGCATCTATGGCGTCAGTGATTACACCTGCTGCAGCTATATCTGCGGCAGGGCTGAACTTGGACTTGAGGTACCCCTGGAATGTTTTGTGTTACATCCCCCATGTGACTCTTTCATAACTGACCAAAAACCTGTCAGTGCAGTTGCACCCCTGCCAACACTCTTTATGGCCTGCATTGACTTTAAGTTCACCTCGAAGGCCCGGGCGCCTTCTTGTGGCGGTGATGACCACTGGTTAGCGACAACGCCACACGTAGAATAAGTTAGAAGCATCTTCACCGCCAAACCAAGCCTTGTTCCTTGCATGACGGTGACTCCCGGCTGCAAGCACTTCGGGCATGCTGTCTCGCTGAGGAGCACGTTCAGTGCTGTGACCTGAACCACCAAATACTTGTAGGATGGCTCTGCACCCGTGGGTTTCTGGCCTTCGCCGGTTAGATTCATTTTTTGCTCAGTTACCGACACTGAACTCAATGACTCGTGGACTGCAGCAGTGCACTCGAAACTAAGTTCGGTTGTAAATGCACCTGAACGGTGCGATCGGTGCTTGTAGAGGCCATGTCTTCGACGCCAGTAACAGGACACAAAGTGCTAGCCATCCGCAGCAAACTGCGCTTCAACAAGACGCGCCAATTTGAAATTCGGCGCAGGGAGAAGTTTTTTTTACTTTTCTTGGCCATTGGGGATTTCCGCTTGCGCTTGCCGAAGCGATGTGTCGTCCCATACTTCTTTTTAAAAGATCGTCGATCCATGATTGCGCGAAAAAGTCAAAGCGGGTGCAAGAAAACAGCATAATCCGAAACAAAGAAAAGCACTTTCTGCGAGCAGGTGAAAAGCGGCAGAAGAGCATACGCTCTCTCAGACACTGGCGCCGCCGGCGCTGTTGCTAGGGGCAATCACTTCGCCGGCCAATGACTGAGCGTGCCCCACCCGCTCGCGCGGACAAGGCCAATCAGATGGGGAGGCTTCCTAATTTTTGTGTTTTATGGCTTACTTCGCATTCGAAGAGACGGTAGATGTGGGAAATGGTAAGATGATGAAATGCGCTTTCCATAGATACCAAGATGACCGCGACCAGTAGCGCCGTCTCGGAAAAACAAAGGTTTGAAAAACATGGATTTTTCAGATTTCAAGCAATATTTCACTACCTGACCTCATATAAGTGATAATTTAGCGCACTTCTGGATAGTTTTCAACAAAAAAGCTTTGAGATGGCGTAGAGGAAGACCCATAGATGAAGTAAAGACTCGTCCTTCCTGGAACGATGCTTGTTTTCCCAATCCGTGTCGTTTCCCTCGGGCTTGATCAGGACCGGCTGATCGTGGAATGCTGTGCGGCGCTATGGGTGTCTGCCGTTCTTTTGCAGTCAGAAACCGGAGGACTTGATGGACGTTTTATGATAAATATATTTACAATGGAGCGCGAAAATGGTACAGGGGCTGTCACGCTGCTGCTGCCGCTTGCGGCAGCCCAACGCCAATTATAGCGCCTCGGCGCCAAGTTCTTTGCCGCGCATGGCAAGGCTCTGTCCCGCGAGATAGAATACGCGGGGACCTCGGGACCGCAAGAGGATGACGACTTGCTGTGCAGACGGGCTCGTTCAAACTCCACGCTCACACGCTCAGTCAGGGCTTAAGACAGTGCGCCAGAACCCGCCCTGTCCAATGAGGGTTTAATTTGAATCCCATTGGGCATGGGCCCCGACACCCTCTCAACCAATCGCACCAGAGACCATTGCTGTTGCCGAGGGGGCCATTAAGGTCGGGTCCTGCAGTGGAGTGTCTAAGCCCTGACCTGTTTATATTCCAAGGAATATCTACTGGTTCTCGGTTTTGGCGAGAACCGCAGATACGTGCCTCGCTGGAAAACATTCTTTCACCGAGCGTGGGCAGAAGCCTCCTAGGACACCAAAGGCACGCCGGACCCATTTGTGCGGCTGGGGAAGCCGTTTCACGGAGAACCCCACGATACTAGGTCCACGCCGGCGCGTTTACATGAGCTGTGCCCGGTGCCCTTGGGCAGAAGCATCCAAGGACACCAAAGGCGTGCCGGACACTTTTGTGTGCCCGGAGGCCCCCTGCCCTGGGTGAGAAAGGGAATAGCCCTTGGGGCGCCCTTCATGGTTAGCTGAAGTCGGGTAGACTTGACGAGCTGTCATGTCTAAACGAGGGGACAATTTGCGGCATCCCTACATGCCCCCCCCCCCCCCCCCCCCCCCCCCGAAAACTGCTATAGGACTTTTGGACTTGCCAGCAGTTACCAAGACAGGAAGGAATAGCCACAGCACTAACATACAAACACACTGCTTAACCTCAAGCGAGAAACAAAACAACAAAACACCTGGCTTAGAATAATCAAGCCTGGCACCTCTAGCACAAATTGCTAAATAAAATTGAGAAAAAAAGGACAAAACCTCTTACTATACTCCGTTTCTCAACTGCCCTCTTGCTGACCTGGATCGCTCGCAACAACGACACCATTGGTGCCGCAAAAGCTTTTACAACCAAAATATACCAAAAAAACAAAAAAGCATTGACAAAGCATGGCAAATCAACATTCAAGGAAAAACTGAAAACGTATGTTGAACATTGAACAACTCTGGAACGTTCGCTTGCACAAAATGACCACGGCAGTGATCGCCTCCCGACCTGCCCACGGCTGACACCAATCCTGTATAGAGAGTGATTAAGCGCTCCACTGCCACCCTGCAATCACTCCACCCCCAGGCTGTTGAACAGCCTAGAGAGCACGTCTGCATTAAGATGTTCCCTTGACTCCTCGATTCTTGCCATCGGCGTCTCTCGGTCCTCCGGGCCAAACGCCACGCATTGCACTTTGGAGTTGCCGGGAGCCGCGGGCGGCCTCCCATTTCTCGCCCGCAAACATGCTGTGGCTAGGTGTGACGGGCTGTCACACCTGTAGCATGTCTTGCTACCAAACTTATTTGTTAAAGGCGTCGAGCCCCTAAAAACTTTTTTTCCTTCCAATTTTTATGAAACCTCTCCTTTCCGGTCACTTTTCGCTCCAGAAAAAGCGGGAACGGCACCACGGCACTCGGCCTGCTCGTACAAGGCGAGGAGGTCTGTTATTTCCGTTCGATCAAACCACTCCCTTCCTTTCTTGAGGGTTATGTACTTGAGATCCTCTGCTCCAACGGACGCTTTCAGTTGGTCCGCCACTAAAAGTGCCTTTAGTTGTTCAAGGACTCCATGCCTCGTGCTTCCACGTAGTACGTTAGGTAGCTCGGTAGCCGCGTGGCAAATTGTTGCCAGCTTTCATTCTTTCTTTTTGAGGATAAGACAAACCGCCTGCAGTACTTGTCGGGCGAGAGTCGCAGCTCTTTTATCACGGTCTGTCTGATACGTTAGAACGAAAACTGGTCCCTCTCCATCCGTGAACAAATGTAACTGTGCCGAGCCACCACGAGTGGGTACACTAGGTGTGCCTGAAC